CATCCTTCATCAGGAACCTTTTGTGCCTTTGCAACAAGCCCATTGACACGAACTTTAAACTCTTCATATTCTCTCTGCAAGAAAGTCATTAGGAGTAAGACGAGTAATATACATGCTAAGTTTATGAGTAACAAAATCATTCAATAGAACCTCAATTTCCTACCTTCATAGCTCTGCGTTCTTTAACAAATGCCGGATGAACCTTGTCTTTTAAGTAGTCAATCTTTTGAGCGAAGTACCATTCTGGAGCTCGCGGCTCAATATCATATTTCTTGCAGAAAGGAACCCATTTTCTAGCAAATTCAGACGTTTCAGATATGGCTTCTAATGTCAACATAGCAGCTCCATCATCTGAAACATAGCAAGAGACTTTGTCGACTGGGTAATCTACTGCAAGAATAGACAGTACGGTATTGGCTGTGACCAGTGGAGGTTCCTTTTAAGGGTCGACTGTACTGACAAAAAAGTCAAAAGCAGCCAATTGAGACGGCTCTCCTTCTTTCTCATATCTGGAGGTATTGAAAACTTTAGAAGTTACATCTTCTTAAGGACATTTGGGCTGACAATGGTTAATGTAGATTGTAGGAAAAAAGAAAAACTACCTGAGAGATAGCCTGTCAAGATATGTCTCACGATTCACTGGAAGCCATTTAGGGAACTGATCCAATATCCATGATATTGCAAACCATATCTCACAGATAACAGATATTAACCACAAAGCATAAGCATCCCTCACTGGATTTGTTAGACGGTAGTGTAAGAAAATGCAAAGGACAGCAAGCCGCAAAACTATGACCATCCTGTAAGGGTTAATCCTAGAGGAAGGAATTGAAACCTTCCTTGAGAGGGGCTGGCGGGCTTCATCATTTCTGCATTACAACCATGGGATAAATACAAGAAAACAATGACGAAAAAAATAAAATACAAATATCAACTGAATTAAAATCATGGATTTGCAAAGCTAAAAGGGAGAAAGCCATAGAGGAAAAACCAGAGGAGGAGAGGGAGGAAAAGCCACAGTTTCATATAGGTAATATGTGAACGCTGTTAGGCAGATGATAAACGGACAATCTGCTTAAAACAACCAGTTTCACACTCTGCTTCAGGCACTTACAGTAAAGAATCATCCATGAGCACATCAGTGCTGGCATCAAAATCGCCGCCACCCCTGCCTTCAGATGGTGCATTACTAACACTCATTGGAGCAGTATTCTTCTCAGGCTTCATCTTCCAACCATCAATCCTCTCTCTCCAGGCTACATTGCCAAACCCCAGTGATCCAGAATCCCTTGTTGGATCCCTCATAGTAGCTGCAGAAAGTCCAATACTGACATTAAAATCTGAACTCAACGATATTTATTTTAGCAGATATACATCCATACCTCTGATGCCACTTTCAGGAGAAGCCAATGAGTAACGTTCAGGAGATGCAGCTGAAAGATCCCCAGAAACCTGAAATACAAATATTATCAGCAACCATTGTCAATATTAAAGAGAGAAGAGAAACTAGAAGCAACGAATTGCTCCATCACCTACCGAGCGTCTACCAGCTAGATAAGGAATATGGTTAAGAGAAAGATCTCTATCATAGTTTGTAGTTGCAAGATGCTCTTTTCGACCAGAACCCGAATCCCAAGCCATCATACGCTCTATCTTTTGTTTCTCATCTTGAACACCTGATGTATGATGATTTGACTTGTTTTCTACATCATCAGAATTAGCATCTTCCACTTCTTCACCTTGAATTAGAGGGCTTCCTGATGAGAAACCAAAATGTGTTACTGACACATTATCTACGCATGCATGAATTGTAAACGCAGAAACAAATGGTGTTGGATTAACCTTTATGCCTCTTGTATTTGGTCTTGCATTGAGGACAAGACTGGCTACCATCCTTCCTCTCATACTCATAACATGGACGGCAAACTGGAAATGAACATACATGGCAAGCAACAAAGGGCTCTCCATCTACAGTCTTGCCAATATCATCACTGCAGATCTGGCACACCTGGATTTTTTTTGGCTGAACAACCAGCAAAACAACCAAAGCCAAAGTAAATTCATAGATAAGAAGACCCAGGAACAGATTTCATAATCACTATCGCAAATCTCTAAGATAGCACAATTTCCGAGCAGTTCAAATGTATTAGATTCAAAGGAGAGAGATTATCTTCCTTGATTCTAAACGCAGCAAACAAACAGATTCTCCAACGAGAAACAAAGAACTTCTGACAATCATGCATACAGATTTGGATCATCACACCAGCGAAAGTTCAGCTGTTGGCATCTAGAATATAGAATCATGATCTACACTTAACCAAAACTATCTCATAAACAAGTCAGACATTAAATCCCGTTCGGATCTGAAAACGCTAAGCAGAAGGAATATAAAATGCAATAAAATGGTTTCATCTGCAATCATATATTAAATTAAACAGGAACGGGAACAAAATCCCATTTCCACTTTTCCTGTCATTTTCTTTCAAGGATCCAAACATGATGGAATAGAGAACAAAGCTTCCAACCCCAAAAAAAAAAAAACTGATGGAATAGAGAACAAAGCTTCCAACCCAAAAAAAAATAAAAAAATTCACCAGAAAGCATGCAGCAATGCATTTGTACAAACTCCACACCCTTCATATCACAATCCAATCAATTGAGTGTCTACTCTCTATCTATCGGTCCCAATAAAAACAAGCAAAGTTATCAAAATGCGACTAACCCCAGTAGCATCTCCTTCTAAGTCCATTACTGCCCCTTCAAGCAATCAAGCAAAATGCTCAATCCCCAGTTCACAAAATCTTTAAAGCAGCTATTTTTAAAGGCAACCCTCCATTGATGAACCAATGGAGTTCCGATGATGCCACACAAAAATGAAGCCTACTAGACTATAAAAGCTTTAAGTCCCACACCGACACTGACCGACAGATCCACAGTATCTGTTTCTATTATTTCACTCCATTCCCATTCCCTTTTATTTTATTTTCATTTTATAAAGTATTCAGAGATGATTAAACCAAAAAAAGGCTGCCAAAAAAAGGAAAATGTGTATCTGAATTTATGTCAAGGTATAAGTGGAACTTGAAGTGCAAGTTCGGAGATGCTTATGTTACAGTTCTTTTCTTCGATCAGATCTTGCCACTTAAGCGTGATGATAGTTTTGACGTGGCAAAATATGATTGGATGTTTTTAATCATCCGCCCCCTGCGAGCGGTCCCTTTTCTCTTCTGTGCAGTGAGACAAGATCCAAACAAATGTAAGTACTACGCTCGAGAGTAGGGTAATTAATAAACTCGCGTTTAGGACGCGCTGGTTGTGTGAATTTACTCATATGCCACGAGTTTTGGAATGAGATATGGAGAGTATTAGCTTTACATAAGCGCTTGGTGTGTGTAAGAATGGCGGGGTTTGACATGAGAATGATGAGCTGGCAGTAACTGTTACATCAATAGGATTTTTTTACTGCGAGGACTTGACCGAAGTGGTGACGTTTACTAAGGGATTAAATGGTCAATTTAATGGCCCTGAATTTATTTTTCTTTATTGAGACTGGCCTTTTTTAAACCTTTTTTTTCCCCTCGCTGTTCGAAAATAATAATAATGATAATGGATTGGGGCCAATAATTGATATGAGATGATCCAATAAATAAAGTTAGTCTTGCCCATATATTTCACTGATCACTTTTCTAATTAAGCTATTAATTTTTTAAATTTATTTGAAAGAGAGATAAATCCATAATAATAATAAAAAAAAACTCTCTGGGATTCATTAGAAATGATAACGATATTTTTATTTTGGATAAAACATAATTTTAATTTTTTAATTTTAATTTTTTTAATGAGACCTATTCATTAAATAAATGAGATAGGAAAGGAATTTTTGTGTTTGGGTAGCATATATATAACTTTTTTCATGGCAAGAGAAATATGCATAGATTTTAGTTACATAAATTGCTTTAGATATATACCTTTGGGATGATTTTTGTAAAAATTTTTTTAACTTAAATAAAATTTATAAGTATATTTGGTTAGAAATTTTTTTTGTTTAAATTAAAAGCTTGTTATTATAAAATTAATTCAAAATTTTGATTTAATCAAAAATAATTTTTTTTAACTTTTTGTTTGTGGATTATAACTTATATACCTTTATGTCTTCAAAAAAGTTGTTTTAAGTTATTTTTACCAAACATGTTTATAAGTTAAAGTTATTTTAACTTATTTTTATCACAACTTATTTATGAAAAACAAAATTTGAATTATGAGTTAAAATACAAAAATATAATTCAAAAATCATATCAAATGGAATATAAAAAAATACTATGAAAAACATGTGACCAATAGACTTTTACCTATAGAATTAAAAAATATATAAGAAATATGGATGGTTTTTTAATTCATTTTTTTAATCGAGTTAGAATTTTACGAGTATGTTTAGCTTAATTTTATAGAAGATCAATTTGCTGTAACCAATTAAAGTTGTTTTTTATATCCAAATTTCATGTGGTAGTTGTTGTTTTGAATTTATTTTTTTTATTTTACTAGTTGTTTTAGGAATTTTTTCAATTAGATTAATTTTATTTAATTTAGGTTTTATTAGTTAGATCATTTTAACATACCATTTAAACATTTTTGTATGCTATTGGCAGAAGAATTATTGACATTCAAAATTTATCAAATCAGAATGCTCTTTTCAATTCATTTGTAATTTTAGGGTTTATAAAACCTTGAATTTTCTCTTTTAGCTATACGAATCATGTCATAAATCAATATACAATGACATTGAACTTTTATTGGTAATAATGTATACAACCATTGATTAATGATTGACTATGTATAATTAATAAATAATCCATGCGGTCCAATTGAAACCTGAGAAAATTAAACCAAAACAAAATGTTAATGTCAGGTAACCAATTGAAAAACTCAGTTCTCTAATCACAGAACAAAGATGATGCTCTGGGAAACTTTGGGTTACCTTGTTCCAAGTTTTATTTGGCCCATCATGGACATTTGGGAGAAACAACACCCAATTCAGCTAATTTGACATTGTTGCACGAAGCTATGGCTTTTATCGCTCCTTCTCTTTCAAGATTAACATCGTGCATCAGAATCCCTCCGCATGGATAAGTCTTGCTGCAATCAAATTTGATAGCCACCTCAGAAGCACTAGTCCCCTTTATGTTCTCGTACACCACATTTTTCACTTGGACTGCTGACCTCTGCATGCCATAATCAAGAAAAAGTTTTAACAACTAGATTAAGGGGGATGGGCACTGCTTTTAAATGCTAATTGTTGTTAAGGTCCTCTGGGATAAAGTTCTTCACCTGTTCTTCGCATGCTTCATCTTGGTCACAGTAGTTTTGATCTATTATAATGGGGTTGGTGACATTGTTCATTTCAATATTCAGAAACTTGATGTTGCGTGCACTTCCAGACCCTCCCTGCATATTAATTAAGATCATAATTGAGCTTAAATCTTGATTAAATGATATATAATGCACATCAATATTGTTGATGAAATGAAGGATAGTAAACATTACCTGCCATGTTTTGATCCTAACACCATTTGTGGTACCAGAAAACTTGGCACCATTGACAGTAACTCCTGAAACGTAGTCTTCTGAATTATGAACTCCCAAGCTTCCAATGCTGTGCACAGAAAGGAAATTGAAAGAGCAATATTTGTTAATGCTTACAGAAACTCATAGTAGCTAAGGAAACAAGCAATTCATATGAGAGAAGAAGTGTCAGTTCAAAGAAGTTTAGAGTTTGATGTTTACTATTTCAGACCTGATTCCATGACCTGGTCCACAAGTTATGTCCGAGGCTTGAACATTTTGGGATCCACTTACAATGGAGATACAATCATCACCTTCATCAACCATAAGTGATTAATTGCACAAGACAGTCATAATAAAAATTGTATGAATCTGAAGAGGTGGGCAATAAATACGTGGATATATATATATACCTGTTCCTATAACTGAATCAGTAATCTGGATGTTTTGGGTGCCTGTGACATGGATTCCATCAGTGTTAGGGCTTCCCTCCGGTGAGGTTACTGTGAGGTTGGAGACTTGAACACCATTGCTTTTCTCAAAAGAAACATGCATTTGTTGTGCATTTTGGATTTTGAGGTTCTTCACAACCAAATTCTGGCATTCATAGAAGGTTATTGCCTGCAAAGCATACATGGTTTCCCAAAATGATGATTTTGTAGCTTCGCAAGATGAGAACCAGAGAAAAAATTGCGAAACTTTTCAGACTTAGAGCATAAATACCGTAGGCGCATCTTTGCAAGGCTGCAAAAATCATGAAAGAAAGAAAAATGATCAGCTTCTATTGTTCAGCAGAAAAATGAGAAGATGAAAGTCTATATTACTTCTAGGATTAACAGTAAGAAATACAGAGTTTATATATATGACTTACAAGGGTTTTATCGACTTTGCATGAGTTTTGCCACCATATCTTCCCATTTCCATCAATAGTTCCACCACCTTCAACTTGCAGATTCTGAACACTATCAAAGACAAGCCAATGTCTACCATCTTCTTTGTAGTCCGATAGATCATCAGATGCTTCAATGACTCCGTTTACCTGAGATGATTTTTCTCAAAAAATGGCCAAATATTTATCTCGTGCAAATAGCATGATCTATCTCTCCAAAAATATTTATGCGTTTAAATCCATATATGTACGTATTGAAACTCACCTGTAATTTGATATTAGATATGCAAGGACCCTGGAATGTAATCGGCTTAAGACGATATGTATAGTGGGGCACAACAACAACAGCTCCTTCAGAGGAAGAACAAGCTTCCTTCCAAGCCTTTTCAATTGTCTGAGAGAATTAAGTTATTAGCTATTACTTGCAAGAAATATAGTAGAAGGTATGCAATATTTCTACAAAGCAAGAGAGGAATTAAGCATTCTCAAAAAAGAAAAGAAAAGAAATCAATCAAGGGCCTTGAAAAAGAAACGGCAAGAGACTGGGATTGCTAAGAAATTAAGTATGTTTCACATGAGTACGTGTCCTGTTCTTGTCACTAAATTAAAGATTTAAAAATCAAATAATTGATGACTGCTAAAAATATTTACATACAAATTAAGGTGTTGATCATTGGATTAGAATATATGGCATGAATTCCCCAAGTTTCTGCACACTAAAGGCATAATCAGTTCATATCTTAATTAATGTAATTAAGAATAGATGGAACACGTGTACAAATATATGATGTAGGCTGTTTTGATTATTCACCTGTCATAACTATGTAAATAGGATATTTATGAATAGATAAGACAGAGCCAAGCCTAAAAAGACATCAAGCTTTGTCATAACTATGTAAATAGGATATTTATGAATAGATAAGATAGAGCTAAGCCTAAAAAAAATTATTTTTTTATCAGAAATTTAGATCATGCTTAGATTTAATCGTGAGATTCTACATGCTAATTCTATTCTATACAAGTCAGCTAATTATAACAAGTCAAAATTTGGAAGGTTTACAAATTAGATTTAGAAAGTGTTGTTAGGTCAATTTTGTTATTTTTCATCTTTATTTTTGAATTTTCTAGTTTGTTTAGGGTTTTTTTTTCTAAATTAAAATAGTTTCCTATCTTATTATGTAGTTTTTTAAATTGATTTAAGGGATTGTAAATTTCCTAAAGAAACAAACTAATTGAAGAAAAAATATATATTCGGTAATAGAATTTTAAATTAATATTTTTATATATTAATTCTATTCCACGTAATTCTGTGCTACGTGTTAGTATTTTATTTTTTGTACTGTTTATGTCTATGTAAAATTGTCTTATATGCTTCTTATAGAATATAGAATATGAATATATAAAAGCATGCTATACTAATGTTAATGCATTATTATTAATCGTGTTTTGTGGACATGAAAGGTTAGATGATACTGTCTGTCAGAAAGAAAATATGTACCTCTGTGTCATCTCCTCCATCAGCTTTAGCTCCAAAATCCTTTACATTAATAGTTCTAACTGAAGTTGATTTGCCACCCACTTTGCTAAACGCTTGCGAACTAATTAAAAAATCACTTCTCAGCTTGACTAAGTTCTTCAACTCGCCATCCTGACTAATCGTGCTATAGTGCGAAGGGTAAACTCGAGAATCATAGCCTGATGCTTCTTCTTCAAGATAATTATGAAGTGGGTCCTCTTGCAAACAATTATAGGATGGAATAATGGAGAGGAAGATCGTGAAGAATGAGTACACAATTAGTGCTCCACGTAAGGCCATAATTATATGTATATTTCCTCTTTTTTAAAGAAAGAGGATTGATAATCTGAAAGTTACAAAAGAATATTGATATGGATGATTACAGATTTGGAATTAGGTAATGATGTTTCTCGTGAATTTATAGAGAAAAGAAAAGAGAGAGAAACGATGCGTAGGTGTTCAATATTGCTTTTGAGGTATGGCTTGAGATACGAGAGACTGAGACGGATGGATCTATCCTAGCATAATCTCCATGCATTCATGATTTGTGTACGTATGCGTGATCCATATCTCAGAATTAATAGCAAATTATTTCCTGATTAAATCAAAGTATTCTTTTTAATAATGTTGCACTTATTAATCAAAAATTAAATCAATATTTGTTGATTTTAATGCACAACTTTACTACTTATATATGTTGGGATTTGCCATTAATGGGCAACCTACCCTAAGAAGTAGGGTTACCATTTGTCAATGGTAGTTGCACCCACCATTGACAAATGTATCAACCCATGTGCAGCCATTGTTGAGGAGATGCCATGGTTGCCTATAAAAGGGCACCAAGAGAGAGAGAGCAAGATGAGAAGAGGATTGTGAGCATGTGAAGAGAGTAGAGAGAAAGAGAGAGCTGCAATGGCAGCAGCCTTGCTGCCATTGCAGCAGCTGCAAGTGCAGCAAAAAGAGCTCGGAGTAGAGTAGAGAGAAGTGATCTTTCTCCTCCATGTATTTGTTTTGTATTCTTTCTCTAATCTCTAATAATATAGACTCTCTCCCGTGGATGTAGGCGGTTTTGCTGAACCACGTAAATACCGTGTCAGTGTGTTTGACTCTTCTATGAGCAAGTATCAGAACATCACCGGTCGGAATTCCCAACACTTGTAAGGATTACGGACACCACCTATCTCCACATTGGTATGATATTGTCCACTTTGGGACTAAGCCCTCATGGATTTGCTCTTGGGTTATACCCAAAAGGCCTCATACCAATGGAGATATTTGTCCATCCTTATATACCCTTGATCCTCCCTATTTCTAACCAATGTGGGACTTTGGTCGCATACCCAACAATCCTTCCCTCGAACAAAGGACCACCGAGCCTCTCCTCAAACGATCCTCAAACGATCATTTATCCATCCACTCTCTGCCAACCAGGATTTTTCATCCTCTACTTCTCTCTACTTCATCGTGTTGGGGTCAGGATACGTCCATGAAGCATCCGGAGAGCACTACCTGACTTGAGAGTTTTTGCTCTTTCTAGGTCAACTCTTCTTCACCGTGTTGAGATCAGGACACGTCCATGAAGCATCCGGAGCACACCGCCTATCCAATAGAGCTGATTTATGGATCACATCGTGATTTAATTAGGGCCCACCACCTTTTGTTTGGCATTTCGAGGATTCATCCATCATGGCTAACTTTAGGGCATGGCTCTGATACCACTTGTAAGGATTACGGACACCACCTATCTCCACATTGGTATGATATTGTCCACTTTTGGACTAAGTCCTCATGGATTTGCTCTTGGGTTATAGCCAAAAGGCCTCATACCAATGGAGATATTTGTCCATCCTTATATACCCTTGATCCTCCCCATTTCTAACCAATGTGGGACTTTGGTCGCATACCCAACAATATAGCCATCATTTTCTTTGATGTCATCTAATACAAGATTTTCATTTGCAAAAGAAAATTAATCAAGGCTGGTAATCATGAAAAACAATATTCCCATCATGGAAGTCTAGAACAAGTGGCTCAGATTGCGGCAGCAACGGATTTCTTGGTGGTTTTCAAGAAAAATTAAGCAAATAAAATTAATACTCACAAGTAATCTCTCCTAAAAAATATATTTATTATCTTAGATAGCCTCTGATTTATATATTTTCTAATTTTTCTTTTGCATCTATATTGTACAAAAACAAGGTACAAGAGTCTTCTCCCCTTTGTGCTTTTTTAGAAGAAAACTTGAAAATTAAAAACGATAAATTTAGCGTCTTGCATATATATATATGTGTGTGCGCGCGCGCGCGCGCGCGCATGGTTAATTACATGCATGATCCCGCCTTGCGTACTCAGGATTCTACTCGAGGGTTTGTAAGAGTAAAAACTTTAAATATAGGATTCTCACTTTTCAACACGATCATTGTAGATTTTGCGGCTGCTTAAAAGGTCACGAAACAGTGGAGGCACGTAAATATTATTCATTATTTTATCGATGTGCCATACACTAGTGTTTCTCAAATTACTGTTGTGTTAATGACGATGAGATGAATTAATGACATCACATGGTTCATTGCATGTGTGGTGAGTTTACGAGAATAGGGTTATTATAAAGAGTTGGGGAGATTGAGGATTTTGAGCAATCGTACATGTTTATATATTTCGTCACAATATATCCCCATATGGGGCTCTAGCTAGGGTTTGGATTGGGCGTAGATAATAGGTTTTTGTGTTTTTATAGGATGAAAATCTGTCGAATCTTGATATGCTCGCCATCAGACCTTCAAAAGTGTGTAAATTTGGCTAACTTGACGCTGCCATCACAAAGTTTTTCCGTAATCTACTTGTCTGGAGTAGACGTGGGAATGGGGAATGGATTTGCTGAACTTTCTGGGGTTTAGTCACTGTGGCCTGATGTAGTGCAAGACCTCGCGCCCATGATGAATTCTGTGCTCGAGCAACCATCTTTCTCATTACCAAGAATGATCAATCAACTTAAGGGGATGATTTCCCTATTAAAGAGTTTATTGGGTTAACAAAACTTAGCGTCCAATCTACGATTGTCATCTGTATTGATCGGTTGGCTGCCGAGTCCTTTCGTGTGAGGAATTCAATTCGAAAACAAGAGGTTACATGCTGAGAGATTTGGGACGGTATGGAGCAGAGATTGATTTAGATACTTCTTAACAGTTACTTGAGTACTTGATGAACAAGGAAAGGCGTATATATTTTTCTTGTAAAATGCACTAAAACAGATTAACTTTTTTTTTTAATTATTTATCATGTCACAGTACGGTATGGAGCAGAGATTGATTTAGATATTTCTTAACAGGTACTGGGTACTTGATGAACAAGCACAGGCATATATATTATTCTTGTAAAATGCACTAAAACAGATTAACTTTTTTTTTTTAATTGTTTATCATGTCACAGTACATTATAGATTGGAATATTATTTTATTAAAACACAAGGGACTGAAATGAAAAAAAAAAGGATAAAAAAAAAGGTGTGTTAGAAGTTTGCTATGAAAATTCATTTTCATCTCCAATTTTTTTGAGATATTAGGTTATTGGTTTTTGTGATTTAAAAAAAATAAATTTTGATATCTAACTTTATTTTTATAATTTTTCAATTTTTATTTTTGTTAGAAAAGAGGGAGGGAGGGAGTCATTAAATTTTCGTATAAATAGAGAAAATTATTGTTGGTGATAATTACGGCCATCAAAACAACAATTATTTGTATTAAATGATCCCATATGATAAAGGAAGTTTATTATCATGTGTTTTATTTTTATATTGAAAACACATCAAAAAACAAATATGGACTTGGACAAATTTTTGGGTTACGAGTTAAATATTTTAGATTTTGGAATGTCTTTTTTATGTTTCTAGAGGCAATACATTAGTTTAACAAGGTTCCTATAGTATTTCCTAAGTGTTTTAGATTAAAAATTGATTTTTGGATAAAAAAATCTTGTTTTTCCAATCACCTTTAATAATCAAATTTTAAATTTAGCAACAATGCATTAATTTTTTTGAAAATTATTGAGGCAAACAATGCATTGTCATTCCCATCAAACTTTAAAAAGTAAAAAGGCATATGCATGGGTTGTAGTTTCATGGGCCAAGTGTTGGGTGTAACATACCAGGTCTAATAACATTTGGTCTAATTTGTTTTTTTTTTTTTAAGTATTTCTTTAGTTGATGCTTTATTTTATATAAATTTTTAAAATAATTTTTTGATATATAATTTAATTAATATCCATTCTCTATGATTAATTTTTTTCTTATGTAGCTTTGTTTTAGATTGAAATATTTTGTTTATGATGATGAGTGTGTTTAATTTTTAAAGAGGTTGATATGATTCATTTGTGAGTTTTTTTTAATATATAAATTGAATTTGTTTTTTTCTTAAGTTAATTTTTGTATAATGGTTTTAATATGTGCAACTTTGCATAATATTTTATTATTAGTTTATTCATGCAATTTGAAAAATTAAAATGGATTGATTTTTTTTTCCAGTTTTGTTCAATATTTTTTTCAGTTTTTTTTTTTGTTGTTGCTCTTATATTTTAATCATATTATTAAATTAAATAAGATTGAACTCAGCTATCAAATTTCCTTTATCTCTTTAAAAGCATAATCGTCTCCTAAATTTTTTTTATTAAAAAAATTAGAGCTTGGATGTTTTATGAATAGTATACAAATAAAATCATTGAGATATTATATAAATATATTTTTATAATATTAGAAAGAGTTCATCTTTCACATTGAATCCTTGTTGTTTTTTCCCCTTATTTGTTTTTGATAAGTTATTTTATAACCATGTTATTAAATTAGCTGAATTTATTAATCTCATCCACTCCATGACTCAAATATTAGATTTTTCTTTGAAAAATATTTACATTGTTTTAATAATTGTTTTACCATAAAAAAATAAATAGGTCCGCAGCATAACACAGGCCAACTAGTGTTATATATATACACACACTTCATTTATAAATAATAAAAACAATATATATTTTTATTTTTTTATTTTCTTTTACAAAATTTTTTGGAATAATACGGGACCTATTTTTTTTCCCATGTCTCAATGTCGTATTTCAATTGATCCTAATACCATTATCATTTTTAAAATCAATTGTCAACAGAACTAAAAAAAATTCATAAATTAAAGATTGGACACTCAAATAGATATAAATAAAAGACTAGACACTCAAGCAAGATAAAAAATCGAAGATTGGACACTCAAATTGTAATTTTCTCATTTTTAAAATTTGTATAGAAATATATACTAGAAGGG